TGCCTGTACCTGGAAAGTCACTCTGTAGTGTGATATACAACAACTGGAGAGGCATGACATTATTGCCTGTACCTGGAAAGACACTCTGTAGTGTGATATACAACAACTGGAGAGGCATGACATTATTGCCCGTACCTGGAAAGACACTCTGTAGTGTGATATACAACAACTGGAGAGGCATGACATTATTGCCTGTACCTGAAAAGACACTTTGTAGTGTGATATACAACTGGAGAGGCATGACATTATTGCCTGTACCTGGAAAGACACTCTGTAGTGTGATATACAACAACTGGAAAGATACTCTGTAGTGTGATATACAACAACTGGAGAGGCATGACATTATTGCCTGTACCTGGAAAGACACTCTGTAGTGTGATATACAACAACTGGAGAGGCATGACATTGTTGCCTGTACCTGGAAAGACACTGTAGTGTGATATACAACAACTGGAGAGGCATGACATTATTGTCTGTACCTGGAAAGACACTCTGTAGTGTGATATACAACAACTGGAGAGGCATGACATTATTGCCTCTACCTGGAAAAACACTCTGTAGTGTGATATACAACAACTGGAAAGACATTCTGTAGTGTGATATACAACAACTGGAAAGTGACAGATTGTGTTATGAGGAAGCAATCACAGGCACATCGATGGGCCTTCAGTGGAACCTTCTCAAACACCTGAAACATTGTGTACTTTGCAGATGATTTCTATGTCATCAGCCAAAATAAAGAACATTTGCAACAAAAGACAGATAAGATCACAGAAATAGAAAAACAGACAAGGTTTTGTCAATAAAACAAAACTGCTGGAGATAAACCCCAAAAGTAAAAGACCCATAGTAATAGATGATATAGGTTTGGAAACAGTAACTGCCTTCACTTACATGGCAAGCAGTATCTCCTCGGATGGAAATGTAGTGGTTGAAATCAAGCTGACAATAGTAAAGGCAAATGTTGCTTACATCAGACTTCAGAGTGTCTGGAGATAAACATCTACAGCACTTAAACTAAACTCAGGATACACAATACATGCATTAGGACAGTTGTTCTCTATGGAGCAGAAAGATAGAGAGCATGCTCAGAGATTTTGAGGGAAGACTTTTCAGAAGTTTTTTGGACTTCACATGGGAAGATAAAATCAGCAATTCTAGATTACTACAAATAACAGACTTAGAAGATGTAAATTTAGAAATTTAAAAAAATGAAGATGGAGGTAGGTGGGACATGTCCTTAGAATGAGGAAAGAGAGACAGCCGAGACAGGCAGTGCAATAGACAGCACAAGGACAGCGGAGAAGAGGCAGGGCCAGAAGAACTTAGAGGCGAACCTTTGAGGCTGAACTCAAGGCTATGTGACAGACAAAATTAGAGAGAGAGAGAGAGGATGGCTCATCTCTGCCTCATGTGCCTCTGGGCGCAATGAGGATTGATTGTTTTATATACTGTTCATATAGAATCTCTGAAAGAATTTGTTGTAGAATCTCATTATTCATTAAGCTGGAGTAACAACAGTTATTCTGACATTACAAACACATCCTCCTTCAAGAGAATGGTGTTTGCACAAAGTTTGGCCAGAGATCAGTGTGCTTGATTCTCATCCCAGTAGAAAAGAAAGGGAAAGCAATTCATTGACTGAGGTAACAAAGATATCTCATCAGGGCATTTTAAAATTAAGAACACACACACACATGTACATTCAGCTGTCATTCCTTTGAATGTAAAAGACATGATCAGAGAGTTGGAAAGTGATGGCCATGAGGACACAGTTACAGTGTTCTGTAATAGTGTGCATGCACTTTATAAATGATGCTTGTAATAAATCCTGGTCTACTTGGAATGATTCTGATTCAACTTAGAATGAATCATGACTTGACTTGACATGAACCTTGGTTTGCACCGACTTTAACGTCTAGGGTTGACAACACAAACGCCGCTCAGCTTCATTATACATTCTGTCAGTTTATTCTGGTCCATTTATTTCACATATTCAAACATTATTTACACTTTATCACTCGCAACATATTCAAACATTAACCATTCTCGCGACATAAAGACGACATCTTCAAATACTACAACCATCTTCTCTGACTTCTCATGATCGACTGACCACGAGGCTAGCTCGGGCTTCGCCTCGCTTACTCCACCGGCCACAAGTATCTCGTGCCGTCACTTGCAGCACGGACTTCCTGCTTGCCACAATGTACTCGTGGAGACCATGCAAAGCAGGGTCATTACAATGCTTCAGGTACCTCAAGATGGGGGTCCTGCCACTGAGTTCTTCTTCTTCTTTCGTTCACTTGAAATAGATTATCTATATCTGCAATATTGTCTCTAGTATGAACTTCACTGTCTTTTGTAACTCACTCAGCAACCCATAAAGTTTGACTTGCACGATTTTTCTCTTAGCCAATAGTTTTGCCTTGATATGTTGTGTGTGGGACAGTTTTGGAGGACATGATCTGTTGTCTCAAGTGCCAGTACACATGTGCACATGGCTGATTCGCGGATTTTACATTTTGTGTACATGTGGCTGCGAAATCTATTGTGTCCTGTTTCAAGGCTTAGAATAATAACTTGCTCTGGTTTGTCCATAAAATGGTAATCGTCTTGTGCCGGTTTTGGTAGCTTTCTGATTGATTTTATTATTCTCTTCTTTTGTTGATAAAAGACTGGTACGTCAAGTTGTTCTTTTTTTGCACCTTCCTTGGCTAGTTTATCAGGTCTTTCATTTCCAGGAACTCCACAGTGGGATGGTATCCATTACATAGTTACCTTACACGGCTGCATAGTTTGGAGAGTAGTGTTCATATACCAGGTAGTTTTCCAGACTGGAATGCTTGAAGCACCGCTCTTGCGTCTGTCAGAAATACCACGGGTTGTGAAATATGACGAATATTTAACAGTTTCTCTGCTGCTATTTTGACGGCTTGAACTTTTGCATCATAGTTGTGACAGTGCTTTCCTCTAGGTATTTTGATGACATGTCTTGGGGCAATGTATAAGCTTTCATCAGATTTTTGATTACAGAGTCAGTCATAGATGATTTAAAGTGCTGTGATCAATAATTCAGAAATTTGTTTTCACCTATAAAAAATCAAGGGTCATAACAAACATAACAAAAAATGCTTCTCGTAATGAAGTCAGGGCCCAGAAAGACGTGATTGGAATTTTACTGATGCATCTTAACCTTTGAGACGCGTAAGTCTAAGTGGCCGGTGTGTCAGGTTGGTGCGAGGTTGTATTGCATCGACGGTCTACCACCAATCATGTGTGCTCTATATTACAGGATGTAAGTGGTTTTAACAACCCCATAACATGTACAACTGGCCCTAACCCCAACCTCCCCCTACCCCTAGGTAGCCTAGGTCCCACGAGAGAGTACATTCAATGCCCGTGATTTCAGACTGGCCCACAAAATGCTGTGTTGCTCCAGAAACGCAACGGTACCCTCCTCGTTACCTGCCGCTGCTGACAACTGAAATAAACTAATATCCTATTTAAAATCCGAGACGGCTATAATATACCCACCAACAAACAATAATTCTGCTTACGAGTGAAAACGCAATGTGGGCTGCTGCTGCTCACACAACATCAATAAACATGCAATGCAGAAAGCTTTGCAAAAAAAAAAACAGTAACAAACACCCCTCTAACATAGACCAGCCTGAGCAAGCATAAATAAATGGTCAGCTAGTGTGGAGCCGGGCCTGTGCTGGGCCCGACTTCGTTACTGCAACGCAAAAATTAACCCCATCGCTCTCCCCGAAAAATGGGTGTGATTAGATTGAAAATTGTAGGAGTAATAAAATGCACTCTAAAATGGGGAAGTTAGCACAATTCTGAAATCATGAAGATATCACAGTTCTTCTGTACTATTCTGGCACACAATGCTTCAGTAGAAATATTGTTTTCTTTAATCCATGCCCAGTAAACCAAAGAAAGAAATTGTCTTAGCTTGGATTCAGTCAAGCCCATCTCACTTCTAAAATTTAGTTTTAATAATTTCACATGCAGGCAATTTAATGGACATGCAAAATAAAGACATTCTAGAAAAGATCAAGTTAACAGAAAAAATAAACATGGAACACAATTGAAATTGAATTTAACGTCAGAAGTATCCTCATTTTGGAAGATCAAAATAGGGCAGTGTCCTCATTTCAGGAGGTCAAGACATGGAAATGTCCTCATTTCAGGAGGTCAGAACATATATTTGTGTCCTCATTTCTGGAGGTCAGAACATATATGTGTGTCCTCATTTCAGGAGGTCAGACCATATATGTGTGTCCTCATTTCAGGACGTCAGAACAAATAATTGCCCTCATTTCAGGAGGTCAGAACACGGAAGTGTCCTCATTTCAGGAGCTCAGAACATGAAAGTGTCCTCATTTCAGGAGCTCAAAATAAAGCAACCCTGCTCTAAGTTATATAAAACCTCGAGACCCAAACGTTTTAAATTAAACCAGTTACTTTCATATCAAGTTAACATAAAGCAGTTAAAAAAAGGTGGAAGTTCACTCATATCAAGCTGATTATTTTATTCTATTTAAATAGGCTACAATAAGTCAGAAATAATAAAAGCCTGAAAAAATTTACCTAAAATAATAAAATTAGAACATTTCTGGGGATTTAAAAAAAATATATATATATAAAGATCATGCAGTTTGTAAACAAAAATATATGTATATATAACTTTTGTCTGGCTCCCTGCAGATTGTGAGCCCTAAGCTATAACTTAGTCTGAGCCTAAATCCAGCACTAGCCTTAAACCAACAGATCACCCGTTGAACCTGCAGAGAAGTTATAATATAGTGGCCTTAACAGCAACTCCATGCTAATGTCACCTGCGGTCCCTCTAGGTAATGATAAGTACTCAGACAATAGCTTTTTGTGGTGGAAAATAAAACCGCATCAGTTCAATATTTATGAATATGATCATTTTGATCACTTTATTTCACTATATCAAGTGTGATCTATGTGTGTTCACGTTTCAGAACGAAAGAAATGCAAAACAGATCAGTTTCGTTGTAATGATGGCAAGTGCCTAGGACTTCATAAAATCTGCAATGGAAGGAAAGAATGTCAGGATGGTTCTGACGAAGTCAGCTGTGGTAAGCACTGACATCATGTTGTTGTACTCAGTACTGACATGATGTATCTGGTGGCAGGCACCTACATGTTGTTATTTAAGTGTTTACTTGTAGTTTCTTGTGCCAGGTGCATACTTGATGTTATAGTTAGTACTTACATGAGGTTATGGTAAGTACCTACATTATATTATTTGTAGCAAGAGCTAAAAATATTTTGGGGTGTAAGTACTTACGTGATATTATTTGTGGCAAGTACTTACATGATGTTATTTGTGGCAAGTACTTACATGATGTTATTTGTGGCAAGTAATTACATGATGTTATTTGTGCTAAGCACTTACATGATGTTATTTGTGGCAAGTACTTACATGTTGTTATTTGTGGTAAGTGCTTACATGATGTTATTTGTGGCAAGTAATTACATGATGTTATTTGTGGTAAGTGCTTACATGATGTTATTTGTGGCAAGTACTTACATGATGTTATTTGTGGTACATACATCATGCTTTTTGTAGTAAGTATTTAAATGTTATTTGTAGTAGGTACTTATATGGTGTTAATATTGGTACCACAAATAATGTGTGAGAGTAATTGTGGTCGCTGTTTTCTGTGTCGACCAAACTGTTGTGGCAGTTACAGTAGCTGTTGTTTCTGTTCACCTGTGAGCCAGATGACCATTCACCTTGTGGTCAGTGATTGTTCTTATGTGTTCATGTCAGGGAATTTTCTGGGATCATGTGCAGAAGATAATGGTCATTGTCAACACAATTGCAAAGCCACCCCACATGGAGCTAGATGCTGGTGCCAGTCTGGATACCAACTTCAGGAAGACCAGAAAGCGTGTGCAGGTAACATCAAACTGTGTATGATGTGTGCTGGTCATATTTCTGTTCCTTCTCTGTTTTGACGTAAAATATGATAATAATGTAGACACAAACAATAGTTTACCTGCTAAAATTAACTGTATCTTGTCAGGTGCATTACCCCACCAGCATATAATGGAGCACAAAATGTGAATTTTTTCAAAAGAAATGCACAGATTGCATTGTGTTTAGTTACACTGTACATCCAACCAACAGAAATACAAGGTTAAATGAGTGGTTACCATGAAGGTCTGAGACTTACCAAGGGATCTTTTTTATGTCTTTGCTCAATATCCAGGGTAACACATTGGGACAATTGCTTATAGTTTGTTGAAGAGAGCGGACATTTTGTTGACATACATAGATACCAGCAACAGAGGTGAAGAACATTGATGAGGGGACGATTATGTGTTATCACAATCAACATCTTTGCTCATTAGGCATCCCCAAGCATGCTCGGACCTCTGATGCTGCAGCCACTGCAAGGTACCTCTACTGATTTTTCCCATGAGGAGTTGGTTATAGTATCTCCTGTCTTTACCTCAAAGACGACATAGACATGCTTTACCAAGCTTAACTCCTTGGTCACTCAGTCGTGTTAGCATCAGAGATTCGCTGTTATTCCTCAACCTAGTCCATACAGTGTTGATGAGTTAGTTATGAGTCAGATAATCTTCACAGCACTCCGGATACATCCATAGGTGCTCAGATTAGGTGCTCTGAACATTGTGCGGTTAATAGTACGAGTCGTGTGTTGGTTAACAAGACTCTGTGTACATTCAGTGTGCTTCTCGTGCTTGGCTGTGGCGATCTTTACTCCCAATTCACATATTCTTAGCCGTGATGTGGACACGTCGCTTCCAAAATCCTCAGAACGTCCTATATCTCTAAAGGGCAATGACAATGTCTGCGTGATCCATGGGGCGGCCATCTTCAATTAATGCAGCACCTGCCAGTCTATCAGCTCTCTCATTACCAACAACGCCTGCATGACCTGTGACAAATATGAAAGTAACTGCACACACAGGAGAATTTTGCAATGACTCAAACCATAGACTGCTTAACCAGCCTACCTCGACACACGGATCATACTCAAAGAATCACTCAGCACACACACACAGGAATAGTCCTGTGATCCCAGCCACATGAAAGCCTGTGTCATCGCCATCATCTCCATCGTCATGCTGCTGGTGGTCATGGAGTAGGCAGCTGGCTTCCTCAACTGTTCTGCCTGAAGAGCGAGCTGTAAATGCCCATGCACTCTTATGTCCTCGTATAACAGACAGTGTTGATGATATCAGCTCTATCCATGCTTCCTTCCATTTGCAATGGGGCATTACTTGCCAACTGGTCAACTCTTTGATTACCATTTACTCCTACATTTCCAGGTATGTAATCCAGATAGTGGAGATTAACTGCAACTTCCTAATGCTTTTTACCCATTCATAGCGTTGATTACCTGTAGCAATTTTCTGAAGTATGTTCAAAGAGTCTGAAACAGTTACCGCATGTGTATCTGCCTGTTCTGGTACCCCTATGAGTGCTCTAAAAGCAGCAATTTCCATGATCATGCTTGACACAGTTGTCTGGTAAGCATCACTGTCCTCTTTTATTGTTGTCTCCATGCTTTGTGCTGTATATGCCCACGCTGATCTTGACCCGCACTTCACGGACCCATCTGTATAAATGATAGCGTCTTGTGGGTGTGAATGCTGATCAATCAGTGCCCTAATCTCTGCATCTGAAGAATGGTAAAGCCATATATTGTGCCTGATGCAGTTACATTGCTTCTGCTGGAGTGCAGTGTGGGTTGTTCTACTTGTATGCAGGGAGCTATATCCGACTCCACGAGGCACACAGGAGTCAGAGAACATAGCCATATTTGTATCAGCTTTTGCATCGCTTCAGAACTTCCGACAAGGTCATATGTAACCCCTTGGCGGTTGATGGTATTGTGCCTGTGTCACAAGCCACCAGTTAATCACTGGGTGACTGAAGTTTGTAGACAGACATTGCTCATTACTTTCATCACAGATCCAACATGATATATGTGTGTGTGTCTATGTGCAGAATGTTGAAAATCGACAGATGTGGCATGAGAGGATACCAAACATAAGCACAATAACATTACAAAGATTCATATGGATGTACTGTCCCAGAGATGCAGGAGTATGAGGACATGAAAGAGCAGATTTTCTGTCTACAAAAGCGATAGCTACAGGAACACATCAACTTTACAAAAGTGATAGCTACAGGTACACATCAACTTTAAGGGCCATAACGATAGAAGAACTACAGTGGTCATTCTAGTGTTTGTTAGATCGTGCCACTCTCTGTATCAATGCATAAGAGGCTTACTTTGAAAACAATACAGGTTATATCTTCAACTGTTGATTATTTTAATTTTTATGGAATTAGTCTCATTACTTAATTGTTGGACCTTGAATAAAGACACCTCCCAAACATGGGATAAAAGTTTAGATAAATTATCTTAAACTACTGGTTATGTTTACTGACAGATACGAAAATCAGTTCCACAACACGTGAAGTGTATTACCAATTATTGGACTCTCATCATCATCATCATGTAGCAGGTCCTTTGCAGAACGTCGCTCTCATCAGAGTCTGCCTGAAAGAAACTCGGTCTCTCGCCAGTTCTCCTGCCTCATGAACTTTCACACTCAAGGAGTCACATATCCTGTGCCCATCTTCGTGTCGGTCGGCCCCTGCCCCTTCTTCCTGGTACCATGCCTTCTGCTATAATTTTGTCCAATTCGTCGTGGCGCTTGATATGACCAAAAATATTTCAGCTTTCGAGAAAGGATGGTGTTTATTAGCCAATCATCCTTGATGTTCAGATCTTTTAAGATGTCAATATTTCTCATCTTCTTTGTCCAAGATATTCTGAGAATCTTTCTATAGCATTTCAGCTCAAAAGCCCCTATTCTCTTTCTTAAGGACTCAGAGATAGTCCGCGACTCACATCCGTATGTAGCCACAGGAAAGATGCATGCTCTCAAAATTCTAATTTTTATCTCCTTGTTGGTGCTTAACCATAGACTTTTAAGGCTGTTCAATCTTAATGGAATCTACTGCAATAAAATATTGAATCATAGGACTACACCACAAAAAATATTCCTAGACTGGTTTTTATTTCTGAGTGTCTGGACATGCCACTTAACTGATGTTTTGGCTTCTTCCATCTGCTTAATCAGCCACCACTGATTTCCAAACAAACAAGATCAGGCTTGACAATCAAGACATCCACCTGGAACTGAAGAAATGGGACACACCATGTAAATGGCTCTCTAATGCGTGTCTCTTCACAATGCTTCACTGAGGCTTGTCCTCATCAAGTATTTATCATCTTACACACATACATAACATGGGGTAGTAGTGATAGTAATTTTGATTCCCATTCAACCGGGAAGGCTAACCCGGTCAATAAATGCCTGCAGAAGTCGTATGTGTTGGCCGAAAGGTGCAAATATCGCATCCATGCTGTAAACAGACACAATGCAATTACATCTTCGGATGAACGCAGAAAAAGAAGAAGAAAAAGATTCCCATTCTGGCATGCAGAATGATAGACATTTTGTCACAGTTCTTTAGACTAATAAGGGTAAAAGTTTGACGCTTTGTCTCTTTCACACAGTTATGATGACACGTTGACAAATTATACTCTAGTTGTGAGCAGTCTTTCTCATATTCCAGCTGTCACTCCTGTTTTTGATTGTGTAACCCACTTATTCTGTCCATCCGGTGACCTATGTGTGCCGATCACCTGTGTTGACTGTGTCACCGGCGTGTTCTGAGTGACGCCTCAACCCTTTGCTCGACCTGTTGACTTGCGAAATAGTATTTGTTAATCGACATATTACCTGAATGTATCTATTGACTGTTCACTGGCAGCCTGTAAAGCTTGTTGTTTGTACTTAAATCTATATGCTACGCCACAACACTGCCTCCCGTTCCTGAATGTTCTTGCTGAACAAGTGTGTGCATATACCCAACAATCTCTGGGTCGTGACCAGTTGTTTGCCAGCTGCTTCTTATGTGTGTGCTAATTTGCTCTATTTCCTGCTCCCTAACACCACAGGACACCGCTTTTGCAGGTCGTCGTTCCATCAACAGGTCGTCGTTCCATCAACAGGTCGTCGTTCCATTGACAGGTCGTTGTTCTAGATTTTTAAACTCATTCAGTGTCTCAGTTCAACATGTCCCTGTCTTCGCTGTTTTCTCCTGATTTGCTGTTAGACCACACCCATGCCTGCGATGTTGCTCTCTGGTGTATTCTAGGGGTTACTCTGTAGATTTTGATGTTGGCTCATGTAGATGGTGATGACACACAAATGATGAATAGTAAAGAACTTCACAGTTCCTACCTTTATTGTGGTTTTACATATAAAATTGTCTAGTATTTGACTTCTTTCTCTATGTGTTGTACTAAGAGCAAAAGCCACATGCACTTGGCACACACACACACACACACATGATGTTTATCTACTGTCATTACCTTGCACTCAGGATGTTACCTTGCACCTGACAGACACCAAACTAGAATTTTCAATTCAGGCCACAAATCTTCTCAAACATTGGTCCTCAGGAATTAGTAACCTCTTCATACGGTTGTTAGTTATTCTTGAGATCAATCACGCATCTTGCAGAATGACCATCCACTCTGGCTGAGCAACACCAACTGATTTGATCTTTGTTTCCACTTTCAAATCTCTCTTTGGTTTTCACATGGTGTCACCCTTCCTCTGTTCACATAAACCCATGATTTCGCGAGGGTGCCCTTCTTGCGTGTTACTCATTTGACTTGCCTTTGATCCTCTGCTGTCATAAGGAAACCCCTTGGGAAACCTCATGATTACACTGATATAAAAACCATAATCATCTGATGGGAAATGTTGGATGCAAATACAGTGATTCAAATCAATGTCTCCAAGTCCAACTTTCCATCTTCTCCTCAAGGTTAACAA